AACCAAAGTAACTTATTAATAGTTTTATAAAACTTAAATGAGAAAAGGGACTTTATATAGGAACCTTTTATTTTGTTTGAAAAATTGTCCTGACCTATGAGCATTACATTTATTTCTGTGGCATCTGTGTATAGTGTGTTACAGAAATGATTATAGAAGGAAATGGCGGGGAAACAATTTTTAAATTTTCGACATTTTTTGTATTAGTAAGGAGGTAAACATACTAAAAGTCCCCACTCCTAGATGAGCATCACCTGGGAGTAGGGACTTTTAGTTACCCTGCCTACTAGTCTAAACAATGTACTAAAGTCAAAAACTGTGTCCCCGTATTTTCCTTCTACACCCCCTTTTCGAACATGACTGGACTAAAATCATATTTATAGAAAAATGGAATTGAAAATTTGGAATTTTCGCGGGTGCACGTGCAATTTTCGAGTTTCAACCCACGGTTCACTACGGAATTTTCATTTCTAATAGCCGCATATCTTAGTCCATTAGACACAAAGAAGGGGAGAAAAATTACCTTTCTGGTTCTAAAAATTCACAAAATTGCACTTAACGCACTTTTCACAGATCACAGAATTATTGATCGGAAAAAAATTAACACCATCATCTATAGCTTGCGAGTCTAAATGTGTTCTTCTTCGTTGAGGGCCAACGGTTTGATAGCCGTGGTTTGAATAATTGCCTAAAATAGGAAGAATACATAAACGAAAAGATAAAATAACCTAGTAAAATCCTAGTTTTTAATTATATTTTAAAGGGATACGAAACTGAAATGATTGCATTATTTCACTATTGCAATAATATTTCTTAAAATATGACTATACCAGATTTCTGATTGGTTTATAGTCTCCACATACAATCATAGTATTTTAATTTTCTTAGGGTCTATTAATATGGTATTTATAAAAGGCATGTTTGTGACTTTACTATTCTATTTATATATTTAAAACAATGTTACATTGTTATTTGTGAACACTTATTATTCAGGTTATTAGACTATTAATTTATTTATTTTTTCTAGGTATGTGCTTTAATCTCAGAAACAGTTTCCCAACTAAATAGAAGGTATTTATGGATATTATATTATGTTTCGATATAAATTAATTTATTTATGTGTTAGCCTTAACTAGAATCATCGTATGGTGTATATATGCCTAAATGTTGGGTGAAAGGGAAAATTTGTTATTTATTTTGTTCTTGCGTTCATACAGATTATAAATGTGCCCACAGACGTACAATACCTAAACATTTATGATTAATATATATATATATATATATATATATATATATATATATATATATATATTGTCAGAATTGATAAATCACTATGATTTATATAAGGTTATTATAGTAAAGGAGTCAGTATATGATTTTAAAACATTTTTAAAATTTATTCTAATTTATACATTATTCTCTATCATATAAGAAGGCAGGTATTCTTAGCTGGAACAACTCTTATTAATCTGTTTAATCCAAAAATATTCTGTAAATCAATCTTTGTCAAGGTTGTTAATAAAATTTGGATTAGAGTAGAATTTTTAAATTATACATTTAAAAAAAAAATTTAAAATTTATTTTAATTAATTACATTATTTCATTTTTATGTTATAAAATAAAAAAATTTAAATTTTATTTTATCCCTAACGTGACCAATTATATAGCCACAAAGGTTTTCGAAAGGGCCGAAGCAGTACCTCGGACCGCTACTTTGCTCAGATATAGCTTACCTGTAATTGTAGTACCATCCTATCCTCCTGGGATTTTTTGTCCCACCGCGGATGGTATCATCTTCCGTCGGTGTGTCGGGTGTTCTTGGCATTGAACCACAATAGCATTCTGTTAATCTGATATCCCTCCTAGCACTAGCGGATCCAAAATTTAATTTTGGGGGGGCTTCAGCCCGAAAGATTTTTTTTTTCATAAAAATTACGATAATTACTTTGGAAAAAGAGAAAGAAACTAACTACCTACATGAAATGGTGTTTAAGTGATTCCTAAAGACCTTTTAAATGTAATTACACGAACAATAATACTTTATGAGATAGTTTTTTAATATTTTAATCGATAAAACATGGTTATATTTTACCATTTTTTTGGGGGGGGAGGCTTCAGCTAGAAAGCCCCCTCCCCCTCGCCTCCTATAAATCCGCCCGTGCCTCCTTTGTAATATCCGACCGAGTGTTCGAAATCTATGTGGCTGTTACTTTTGGTCTAGGATTGAATTGAAACCATTCGTTTATTAGAATAACAAAAATAACAATTACATAATTAAAGCATTAGAAATTTGAATCGTTTTCATGACAAAACAGTTTAGATAAATTTAATTATGATTATATTTTTGAAGTGACAACTTCTTTAGTTGAGTTGTGCACTTATTTTGTGCAGAGTGAATACATTGAGTCATCAGATCTCCTATGTGTAACGCTCGTGTAAAGTCGGTAGGAGTCGACTAATTAAATTGTTTGTTTTTGTATCTGGATTAAAATATCTCAAAAACCAAAAATCGGACCTCCATATTGTTATGAAGGGAAATGTTAATCATTTCCTACTCTTTCTAATGAGCTATTATTATATTAAAATTGTATCTTACGTGACGCCGTGTTAGAGAGGCGAAAAGGGAAAAATAGTGCCGAAAAACAAAGGATAACAAATTTTCTTGAAGATATGGATCAAAATATCTCTGAAACTAAGAATCAGACCTGCATACTGTAAGCAAGGGAAATGTTCAGAATTTCATCCTCTTTATAATGAGCTGTTATTTATAATTTATATTTCATGTTATTAATCTTGCCTTGTTAAAGTTTTCATTTCTATTGTGTGGTCTAATGCACACACCTTAGTTTTTTTTATTATTTGGCCTAATCCGTTTTATTTTGGATATACCATATTGTATTATTTCCCTAGATTTTTTTTATCCTGAAACACGCATATTTTTCTATATTAAGATTTTTTTGTGCTTCCTCCCCGCAGGTATTAGAATTTTTAAGTTTCATTCTCCGTCTATGTTTTTTTCATCCGCTATAAAGTTTGCATAAAAAAATTAAATAAATATTTCCCCGTTGCCTAAGGACACATTGAAACCTGAAACTCTTTGTTTGCGGTGTAGTGTTGGACAGGAACTATTTCTGCTCAGTTTAGTACCATCATCAATTCTTTTTTTACTGGTCATTGGTTAGTTAATTTAGCTTTAAATCTTTTCTTACGACTTCCGCAATACATTTTCTATTTTCGAATTTTGTTTCTGTTAATATCTAGAACAAAATTTAAGTGTCTCTTTTTTTTCATTGTTTCTTCTCAGGTCGACAGTTAGTCATTCACTTATGTGTATATTTTTCCTTACATTACAACTTATCTCCATACAGTATAATTATTTATGTATTTCCTCGGAGCTATAAAGTCCTGGAAATTTAAGATAAGTCCGTGAATTTCAAATCGGCTTTTCGGATAGGAAATTGTTTGAATTTTTGGAAATTGGAAATTTTTTGTTCGAAAAATTTAATAATAAGCATTTACTTGTTTACTCTGTTTATAAACTGTTATTTTAGTATAAGTTATTTTAGTAAATTTAGTTATTTTACCGTAAACATTGTAAAAGATTTACCACAACAACCCTTTTGGATTCTGTTCTTAGTATGGAAGTATTGTTTCTTGGTCACTGGTAGTGGCAATCATATGATTTGACCGTATTCACGCTCAACCATATTTTTTTTTCTCCTTAATCATTTGTTTAATTAGGAATGCTTACTTAAGGGTGTGTCCTAAAGTCTCCCGAGACAAAGGTCGAGTCACGCCTGATTTATTAGAATAAATAATTACCTGCCAAAGCCGACTGTCAAACTCGAACCCAGCTATCCTGCTTCAATTTTTTTGTAAAATTGTTGTTTACTTATATTATTACCATAAAAATCTAAGTAAAAGAAAAAAAAATCTTTACTTCTATAGGCTAAAATTGAGTTCAAGAAAATTGATATTAACGTTTTTTTACAGAAGAGCATAAAAACTGATTTATTAGTATAATTTCATATTTTATTTCTCTATGATATTTTCCATTGTAGCAGACTACTATTTGCAGTTGCAGATTACAAAATGTCACCTTTAACCAAATAGAATGAACTTGTAAAATTATTTCATACGACCTTTCTTATTAAAAGTAACAATGTTCTTTTCCTTTTTTATTTATTTATTTATTTGTTTTTATTATTTTTTTTTTTACGGAACGGCCATAGAGACCACGCGAATACATGACCTTTATTATTTGCTATGGCACATTTTTGTTTAGCTTTTGGTTGATATTTTTTATATTGTTCTTCAAGGAAAGATTTATTTGTTTTTTATTATGCAAAATGAAATTATATTAAATACAACTCGAATAGAAATTGAAGTTTATTTCAGTCTCGCGAATCCCACGGTTGGTGAATAAAATAATATCATTGCCTAACTGATAAGAACAATTAATGATTTTTATAAGAAAATCGATGTATTCAGGTAATATCTTTTCTGTAAGTCTATATTTTCTGTTTCCTGGGTTATTAAAAACATTTATATAATATTAATTTTTTTTTTTTACAAATCCTGTAATAAATTACATATATCTGAATTGTGAAAAATTTTGTTAACCATAGTGAAAAAAAGTCAGAATGACTGGTATGTTTTAAACTAGAGAATCACAGAACTAAACGATTCCTCAAATCTTTTTTGTGTGACTTCATCGTTTCTTTTTCAAGTACTTAAGTTTAGGAGTATTTGAAAATTGAAATGAAAACTTACATCGTTGATAATTCTTTTGAGAAGAAAATTTATTTTCAATATGTCGATGAAGCGGGTAATTCAAATTGAAGAATCAATTTAGAGGCTTTAAAAACAGTTGTTTTTCAAAAATTAATTTATCTGGCATGCAACAGGAAAAAACGTCCTCGCGAAATCGTTTACCGTATTGACACAAGCATGGTTTGTTCCTAAGGTCAACAATTATCTAAAAATATTAGATCAGTCTGGGGAAAACCAGTCGCATATTTCCTTCGTTACAGTACTGTGTCTTGTATTCTAATTCCGTCCACCGTAGAAAGCCATCTAGAATCGATTCAAGGTAAATGCTTGTGTAATTGATCATTACTATCTGGGTTAATTGTATGCATTTTTCCTCTCCTTGAAATGGAATTATTAATCTGTGTACTCTTAAATAATATATGTCATGATCGTTCTTTTAACTGCAACGATTGCATTTGAAAATTAATTATATTTTCAAAAATTTTGAGCCTTAGTTTCCTGCAATGTTGCAATAACAATGTATTGTTCGTGTCATCCCGTCACGTATTATATTTCTACGGCGTTGTTAACCTCATGCACCGGTTCCTTGTTGACGGATCCATTCAAGTGAATATCACGGCTCAATAATAGAGTTTTCAATTTGATATTAGGTCGAAAAATGTAATGTGGGTGGAAAATGTGTTTTTAAATCCTCATGTCACCATAGACGCAGACTTTCCAATTTAGTCAAGATAGAGGATGAACTATCTCTCCCCTCCTCCCCCAAAAAAGTCTCGGAAGTTAATGTTACGTACAAAAATCATGAGTGACAATTAACATGATCAAAAATAATAAAAACGATGTAATATAATACTTTTTATAGATTTCTTTTTTAATTTTTAACTTTTTATTTTATTTGTATTTGCCTCTACCCTAGAGGGTCATTCTTAATTTTTATATTCTGTTATAGTGATTTGTTTCTAATAAATATTGAAAGAGAATGATGACATATTCCTCCTTGTCTCCCAAAAAATCTTTCAATGTCGTCGAAAGCTTTAATTTTTGTCTCTTTTTTTTTCATATTGGGGGCACTCTAGTAGTAAAGTAAAAAAAAAAAAAAAGTCTGGAGACTATATCTATGCTCCGAATTGTCCGATTTAAACGATTTTTTTTTGTTTATTAGGAAATTTCGTCAACTTTTAAAAATATTTAAAAATCGCGATATCTTTACAAATAGTACTCTGATTTCGATAAAACTTTATTAATTTTTTAGGAAATTTAAATACCTTTGAAACATCTTATTACAATATCAACAAGAAAGTATTTACTTTTTTAGTTATTCGGAATCTAATTATACCATACCTCGTAACTTTTTCCCCACTTCTTTTCGTTGAATTATGTTATGTAGAAATAAATGTATGTTTTTTTTACAACTTTTCTTTAATAGACCTTTGAATATTAAATTTAAACATAGTTATTTATTATTTATTTATTTATGCCTCCCTTCCTTGCCTTTCGGCTACACGGGATTTTGCAGGGATGGCATATCACACACGTGCATGCCATTCCTGCTATTAAACAACAAATTAATTTTCAATTTTGTTTTGTTTTTCAAATATCTTCTTTTTTTCCATTATTTTCAATATATTAGTCTGGTGGCCTTCTATTAGCAGGTTCTCTTCCTAGATTGAAGTGAGAGGGTCCCAGAGCAGCTTTCCACCCGTACACAAAATCTTTGTAATACGGGTAGTTCTGCTCCGTCACTAACTCGGGAAATTCATCCTCCGTGAGGCCATAGATTCCCATTTTTCTGATCATTTCGGCCCTTAGTCCATCAAAGGCGGTGCAGTTGACGATAATATGCTCAGCCGTCTCCGGTACTCCGCAAGTGGGGCATAGGGGATCTATGTCTTTTCCAAAACCATGTAACTTAAAGCGGAAACCCCCATGCCCAGTAAGGAATTGAGAGACCCAGTAGTCCGGGAGAACCCACTTAGCTTTCAAGCGACTTCGGACGGTGGGGAAATATTTTCTTAAGGTTGCTCCTTTCAAGGTTGTTACCCACCGCCGATTCCACTCATCTATGGTGTCCTCCCGGATAATCCTCTTCCATTTTCTTGGGTCTTCTGCAATCCTCACCCGGATATTCTCCGGAAGACCTGCTGAGCCTTCTCTTTTTAACTTAAATATTAGCGAGTCTTCTCGCAGGAGAAGGTCGAGAGGTACCCCTCCTGCTAAGATCTGCACCGCCTCGTGAGACACACTTCGGTATGATTTTGTGACTCGCAACAGAGCCGTACGTTGAATTGTCGCCAATCTGCGTTTCTGACGGTGTGAGAGATTCTGAGACCACGCAGGAGAGGCGTATCTCAGAATACCCACTATCATTCCATCGTAAATGATCCTCGTAGCTGGGTATCTGAGGCCCCAAAATGCACCCCCTAGGCGACTAAGTCCATTCAAGGCTAGGGCCACCCTACTTCCTAAGTAGTCCAAATGAGGGGTCATATTAAATCCTCTTCCAAACCTTATGCCAAGGTAGGTGACCACCTCACTTGGACGTATTCTCGTTCCCTGTATACACAGATTTATAGGGTGTGCCCTATCCGTCTTTCCCTTCAGCAGGATCGCCTGGGTCTTTGATGCGGCCATTCGTAACTTCATCCCCTCACACCATTGCCCGACCAGATTGGCGCACCGCTCTGCTTGTAGCTTTATTCCGGCTCTGCTGTTTGACGCTACTACTGCCGCCAAGTCATCGACGTAAGCCGTAGCAGGGAACCGCTCATTTTCGAGCACACCCAGCAACTCATCAAACACTAGCTTCCATAGAGTCGGACCAAGGACTGATCCCTGAGGGCATCCCCTCTCTATGGAAGCTTCAGTTTCATAAGAGCTACCTCTGACCTTAACAAATCTGTCCTGGAGATAACTACTTATGAGGGCGTATAGATTGCTGGGGGCATCGTACTTCTGTAGCTGCTGAAGTGCTCGCGGCCACCAGACACTATCGAAGGCGGAGGATATGTCAAAAAGCAGCAACATGACATACCGCTCAGCCTTCTGTTCAACGTCCGCTTGTACTCGAAGCAGGGCATCAGCGGTTCCCTTTCCCTTGGTACTACCGTATTGCCGCGGATGGCTAGCCCTTGCGAGAACTGGTCGTAGGCTGGTTAAGATAAGATTCTCCAGGACCTTGCTCATTATAGGGAGGAGACATATAGGTCTATATGACTTTGGGAGCTGCTTATCCCTGCCTCCTCCCTTGTAGAGGAGTCTCAAATCGGCGATCTTCCACATTTTTGGAAAGTATCCCCGATCCAGGCAATCATTGAAAATCCTCAATAATCGCTCATCAATGTAGGGGATACTGTTCTTCAAGATCGCCGCATCTATTGAATCGAGTCCTGGAGCACGTCCTGTTCTCTGCTTTTCCACGGCAATACGTAGATCATGTATGTCCCACGGTGGGCATAAGTCCGTGCCAGGAGGGTATAACGTAGAACGTCGCACGAAAGCTTCCTCCTCATTGTCCTGGGATGGATCATCTCTGGGGTATGTCGCCTTTATGAAGATGTTAGCCGCTTCCTCGAAGGTGGTTGCCTGCGCATCTCCATACTTAAGAGCTGCTATTGTCTGCGGAGGGTTGAACTTACCCATAGCGACTCTGTATGGGATACCCCAAGGATTCTTCGAGGATTCTTCTGCAATAAATTCATCCCAGGACCTACGCTTTCGTGAACGTTCCTCTCTTCGGTATACTTTGGCTTTGGACTTATACTCGTTGCGAAGTGCAGCGCGCCTCTCGTCACATCTGCACTTCTGGTACGACCGCCGTGCCTTGTAGAGCTCTCTCTTTATTGTTGTTAAGGCGGGCGTCCACCATGGAACTGCTCGAGTTCTCGCTTTCCGATGTTGGAGGGAGTTTTCAGCGGCATCGAGGATAGCATTGGTGACCAGGGATACCCTGTAGTCCAGGTTATCTGTGATCTCCGATTCTGCTACTTCCCAATCTTCATCGGCGAGTTCTCCCTCCAACATGCAACGGAAAGCAGTCCAGTCATTTCTGCGGGTTATGTAGCCAGTGTTGATACCGTGAGAACCTTCTGAGTACTGAACCAGGCTGAATGCCAATACTTTGTGGTCGGAACTCGTTTCAGATCTGGTAGTCCAATCGACAATGTGCCCTATAAGTGTCGGCGAGGCCAGCGTGACGTCAATCCAGCTCTCACCCATACCTCCAGAGAACGTAGATGGGGCAGAGACATCGTTTATGACGACTAGCTGGCCTCTAGAAATAAACTCGTTGAGTTTAGCACCTCTTCTGTCTGTTCGATTGGATCCCCAGACCGTGTTCCAGGAGTTGGTGTCTGAGCAAATAATCACATTTCTAGAGTGAGCTGTGATATCTTCCATGGCAGATATGTCTTCTTCAATATCTCTTCCGTTAGGAAGATAGGCCGAAACCAGGGTAAAAGATACATTACCCCACCTAACATAACATGCCACACTATCTGCCATAGAGTATTGCCTCAGATCCATCACGTCGAGGTTAGGATTGTTTATCACAATAGCAGCCCTAGGCCTCCTCTCTCCACTGCCTAGAGCTATAACTTTCGACGTGAGACCAAAACCTGTGACCACGTTCCCACGGCAGGTCGGTTCCTGGACCGCCATGATATCATATCGTTGGGAAAGACCACGAAGCTCATCTGCCACAACTCTTCGCCGGCCCATGTTTAACTGGAGGATGTTGATCTTAATCATAATATGTCCTTTTAGCCACCTCCTTGCACCACGTTAAGTGCACAGGGCACTCCCGGCTTCCCGACTTGTGCTTCATTTGGCTGGGATGGGTGTTCGCCCGCACACAGTTAATACAAGTCGGGTCAGCCACTGCCTTTTTCTTTGGACAATCACTTATCATATGACCACTATTCGAACACCAAATACATACAACAGCATCTGCCGTGCATGTGGCCTTTGTGTGGTCGTAGCCCTGGCACTTTGTGCACCGAGGGGCGTCGAGGTAGTCCTTAAATGATAAAGACCACCACCCTCCATTCAAACTACCTATGTCTAAAAACTGGAACCGAACCATTGGATGCACCTCCAGCACCCAATTCTTAGTAAAACCGTTTTTAGCAGTAGAGGAAAAAAGAGGTCGGATGTCGTCATTAATCAATGGTGTTGGGACCGACTTCTCGGGTATTCTTTCCCAAAGAAATTTTGAAAGTTCATCTGCGCCCCAGGAGTGGGGTACACCCCTCACCTCCATCTTAGGCTTTTTCCTCAGCGCTAACTTTGCCTGTAACCCGTTCTCCCGCAGGCCCTGCCATC